AGGGAAAATGATCAAATAATAAAGTAATATTCATAACCTTTCCAGAAGACAGGAGATGAACACGGTGAAACTATTTCTCCTCATCTCCAAATGTTTGAGTAAGGATGATTTCTGATGATAGAAAGGAACTGAATTTTTCCAGATTTAGTAATTCAGCTGCTGATACCTGACAACCAGTGTGTGCGGTATCAGCTGTACAGGTCCCTTACCCAACCCATTCTACTGCTGCATCATCTACTTTATGTTACAATTTCTCTCAGTAAATAAGATACTTCAGCCTCATATTTCTATGCAGTGTTCCAACTGGTCTTGTTCTTGATATACTGGTCCATACCATTGCATACTGTTTTTCATGCAACTTTTATATCCTAATCAAATAGATAAGCCTAAACGTAATCTTTTGCCTTAAGCCAAGAGTTAGGAAAAACATCTAGTGTTGCAAAATATGCCATATTCTTATTTTTACTGGACTTTAAAATATGTAGTAGTCAAGAAACCTGGGGGATAAACAGTAAATTCCATTCTCTTTTCAGGGGCATTTTTGTTACATTTTATAAACTTTCCACACGTTATGGAAAACATGCTGCAGCCAGGAATGGTTATACAATACTGTCTGTTTAGATAGTTGCAAATCCAGCAGAACTTAAAAGATGCCATGTTCTCCTGACCCCATGAACATAGGTTACAGAGGCACACTGACTATAAGACAAAGGATGTCAAATAACTTGCCTTCAACCCATATGTGAACAATCTCTTAATTTGGCAGAATCAAGTCTACAACCAGTAGACTTGACAGAGGGGAGTTAACTATCAAATATGAGGGAAAATAGGTTTTTGGTATTGATGCTGTTGTAAATTATGAAACTATAAGGTAGCTTTTTTGTTCACTTATTGGATCAGGCCCTGGACAAGATGATTGAGCTGTGCATGTCCCCTTGTCATTGCAAGGGAGCTGGACTAGATGACCTTTAAAGTTCCCTTCCAAATCTAAGAATTCTGTGATTCTATGATAAAATAAGAATTGTGCAGAGTAGATCTTTCTGCTATTCACTTTAGTATTAACACACTGCTACTTCCGTTACACAGAAATTTACAGCATATTTTCACCAAGGAAAAGCAAACATTTCATCGTATTTTAGGTAATGATTCATTTAAGAAAAAAATTAGTTGGTGGAACTCATCTGCCTTGAACTTTGCAACACACCCAAGTGAACACTCCTTTCAAATACTCTATTTAAAGACAACCTAAAACAGGTAGAATAGAACACAAAGAGAAATGCTTACTTGAAGATGAAACCAATAAAATTAGAAGAATAATTGAAAGAGCTTAAAAATGGGTTAATGTAAGTTGAAGGTACATTTTATTTGTAAACGCAAGATAATCTTGTTATATCTGAGAGCACAGGAATATATGCCACCTGCTTCTTAACAACATTCGGGATAACATGTCTTTTCAGGCTGAGTCAAGAAATATCCTTTGGCAGAATATGGCATGTGGCAGGAAAAAATAACAAACATGCTTTTTAACTTGTTAATTATCTGCATTGATGTCATTTGCTATTACTTTTCTCAGCAAGTGTCCTTTTCAATCAATATGCATTAATCTAAGCATAATAATATATAGTAAATATAGCTGTACTACTGTATCAAGATTGAGTGTTAATGACCTTTAACACTTATAAATGTTGAGGAATTTGGTCAATCTTACTGGAACGAAAGCAGTAGTTTTGTTTAGTTGGCCCCACAACTTAAGCAAGTGTTCTACAACCACTGCTTTAGTGGTAGCTGCCAGCAATACATACTAACACTGCTCTTAGAAACAACAGAATTTCTATGCACTGCAAAGTGAAACATAACTCAAGCTACACAGAGAAACTTAAGCCACTCTAAGTATGTTGTGATAAAAGTTGAAACTTAAATTACAGTGCAACAATAAATAAATTTCTGTAGGATTTAGTTTCCATGTTGCCAATCAATATTTAACTCTACATGGACAAGCAATCTGATAGGTTTCTCAGCTTTTTGAAGTTGTGTGTGCAGATACTTTCCTTTTATCTTAAATAAAAAACTTCTGCTGATAATATTGTGCAATTATATTTAAAAAAAATTCTTGTCTTCCATGTTTTGTTAACATCCTGCTGTTGCTTAGATTTCTAAATCTATAAGTAGAAAGAAAAAAAAAAAAAAACTGGGATTATTTTCCCTGGAAGAGGTTGAGAGGAGACCTCATCGTTCTCCTTAACTACCTGAAAGAAGATTACAGTGAGAAAGTTGTCAGTCTCTTATCTTAGGTGATGATAGGATGTGAAGGAATGGCCTCAAGTTTCATCAGGGGCAGTTTACATTTAGATATAAGGAAACCAGTTTTCGTGGAGAGGACAGAAAACACTGGAATGGGAAACAGGGAAGTGGTGGAGGTATTTAAGAGACATTTGGATGTTGTACTAAAAGACATGACAGGACTTGGGTGATGAGTGGACTTAGTGATCTTGAAAGTCTTTTTCAACTTAGATGATTCTATGATTCAAGATGTATCAATTATGAAAGTTTGTTTAAAGAGAATTTAAAATTATATTTATTTTTCATTGCCTCAGAGAATTCCTAACATAAATTAAGCTCCTCATATGATGAATTAAAATTACTTAGATTTAATTTGAATCACAGCTTCCTAGTAAGAAGTGGCATACCATTTTTCCTGCTAAAAAGCACTTGATTTGTCTTCTGAGATAGAGAAAGAAAATAACTATAGCCTGTGCTTTAAAGAACTGTGGAAAAAAAGGAAAGGTAAAAAGTACCAATTTCAACCATTAACAAAGTGCATGTCAAATTAAGCTTTTTTTTTTTTTTTTTTTTTTTTGACTAGTTGTCTCTCCTGAACTATTAGACCTCACTGCAGAAGAGTAGATGGAGGTGGATGAGTTCAAGACAACCTCTGACAGAAATTTGGGCCCTGCTGTGCACTGTAAGATCCCACTGCACACTGACAAACTTCTTTGTTTCCTCCCATTTTCTTTTTTTTTTTTTTTTTCCTGTTTTTTAACCCATTCTCTTTCTGTAATTATTTATTGTGTTATTTGTAACCAAGGCAGCAGAGGGAGCTCAAAGATTTTGGTCATCAATAAGAGAAACAGAATCAGAAAGTTAGTACCAAGATCAACTAGAATGGCAGTGAAGAATAGGAACTAATATACAGGCTTCTGTAAGATAATGCACTATATGCATATCCCATTACTCAGCTGCTCCTTTTACATCCCAGAGAAACTTCCAGATACCACATGACAGGTCTTATTTTGTACCTTTTGCTTGTAAGCTCTTTTGTTTTAGATTGGAAAAAGGAGTACTTACCGAGAATGTGTAAGATTTACAAAGATGTCTGGATTATAAGGATTATAGTAAATAACAGTTGGTAAAGTAGTGAGAATAGATAAAAGTGGTAAAACTGTGGTGAATTTATTTTCCTTCAGTAAGGCAGTACTTCAGGTTTAAAATGATTCAAGGTATTTTTAACTGTAATTTTAAGATAAAGGTGCTAACATCTTTTCAGAAGATATTCCTTTTCAGTTCAGCGGAGAAGTAGCTAATAATACATACAATCAAAAGTCCTATCTGCATAAAGGCACTTGTTCTAAAATGTGAGATTTGAGTCTCTAAGAGTTCAGCAGCTGCTGACCATAAGCAAAAGTTCTGCACTGAGCAGTCAGTGAATATTATATTATGATCAGAATATCAGCATTATGATGCAACACTTCCCCTAAGACCAAGGTTGTGCTTAATTGTCCACTTTTGGCACACACATTCCCAATAGAGTGAGAAGGTCTCTGGTTCTGAACAACTTTGGTATTTTCTACAATGTACTAACTGGAAATGTGTGTAATGGATCGGGTTGTGCAGCAGTATCTCTCAACTATTTTAATCAGTTTGCTTTCAAGGCAACTTGGAAAAAAAATACAATTCCTTTATAAATGTGTAACTATTTCCTAATGTAAATTATTAATATGGTTTTATATAATGCACAGGTTCCAACTGACAGCTGAAATTAGGAAACGTTTTTAGCTTATAGTTTTGGGTTTTTTGTTTTTTTTTTTTAGGATTAAATGTTCTTGGTCTCCAATTTCAAAGAACTGTTGTGTGTAGTTAAATGAGATGAACAATATACTAAAGGATGTAAGCAGTCCACAAGCATGCTGCTGCACAATACTGAAGAGAGCCTGGCCTCACTCATTTGATTCTTGAACTTTAGATACTTTTGTAATATTACATGTAAATATATTTAAAAAAAAAAAAAATTGCTGTAGCTTTTACAAAGAAAAGGCACAGGTATCTGGTGTTACTCTGCCTGGAGAAGAGGGGAGACCTCATTGCAGCCTTTCAGTATTTAAAGGGATCTAAGAAACGAGATGTAGACTGACATTTTACACTGCATGCTAGTGATAGGGCAAGGAGGAAAGGTTTTCTAAATAAATAAATAAATAAAGGAGATTTAGATTAGAGATAAGGAAGAAACTATTTGGTGAGGCCACTGGCACAGATTGTGCAGAGAAACTGTGGATGCCCATCCCTAGAGGTGTTCAAGGCCAGGCTGGATGGGGCCCTTGGCAGCCTGATCTAGTAGAAAGCAACCCTACTGATGACAGGGTGGTTGGAACCAGACAATCCTTTATTTTTCCTTTCTATGACTCTACTCTCTCTGCACCATGTCTATTTAAAACAAAACAAAAAAAAACAAAAAAACAAAAAAAAAAAAAACAAAAAAAAAAAAACCAAACAACAAAACTTTTTAAATAAAGTATATATCCTCATATGCACTATACGGAGTGAAATTTAAAATATAATTCATTTAACAATTCAAAAATTCAAAAAAAAATTCAATTGCTAAATTAAATGCTCTGTTTTCAGAAGAGGGTTTATTTCACTTAGTTCTGTATTAATAGAAGTTCTATCTTGATTTTTAAATATCTTTAACTTGAACTTTAAACATTTTTTGAGATAGGATATCTCACCATGGTTGTCTCTGCAATGGATCCAAAGCTGTTTATAAATATGTTGCATGTGACATTAACTGGAGGACCTGCAAAAGAGGGAAAACAAACAAAAAAACATCAGTGTCTATTTCAGAATCAATGCATATTGAGTGATTGTAAAACAAATTGATGTGATAAACTATTATAAAACAATATTTGTTGATTTAAGAGGAAATACTGTTACATTCAAAACTCATTTAATGCAAAATTTGAATGATTTCTGGTATGTAATAGATTATTCCTTTCAATTTTTCTCACAATTACCCTACCAGACTGGCCAGTTTGAGGATTATATACAAACGAGGAAAAAAAAAAAAAAAAAAAAAA